GTGTGTACGAGGTGCTCATCCACTGTCTTTCTCTCCAGGTTGACGACGCCATCGCCGTTCCTGACGGCCCTGCTGCGCCTTACGTGGGGCCGCCTCTCATCTATACCCTTAAGATAACTGACAAACACATCGACAATGGTCGTCTAAAAGTGGCTGACATTCTTCGCGATGTCCTGCAGCGATGGGCCATTCCTCGCAGCCTACGAGAATTGAGGGGTGACGGCTCTGAGGACCTGCTGCGTGTCGTGGGTGCTCACCTTGAGGAGCTGGAGTTCGCATTCTCTTGGGAGGCCCAGCCCAGCGTCATGGAGGAGGTCGAGAAGATGACAGGACTCAAAAGACTAGATGTTAGTTGCGCTGACGATGTTGACTACCCGGACCTCCCGTTGCTGTTGGAAGAACTCTCTGTGTATAACATGACCGAGAATCAGCTGCGCTGTGTAGAACGTATGCCCAGGCTGAGCAGCTTGGAGGTGTTAAATTACCAAGGTCCAAATCTGACTTTCCCTCCATCGCAGCATGGCAGGCTGCTTTATCTTCACGTGACCCTTAATACTGACTACAAGTCTACCATGCTGTCCCTGATTTGCGCCCATGCGTCATCTCTGCAGGAGCTACGCATATGCTGTTCCTTCTCTCCCGACAGCCTGTACTCCTACTTCCCCGATCTGGCCCAGGAGCTGGCGGCTTGCGGCCTGCTCGCCTTGCGCCGGCTTGTCCTTATGCGTCCTGTGGGTTATCCTTGCCCAGACCAGTCTGTTGGCTGCCTGGTACAGCGAAGAACTATTCGAAGCGTTTTCCCATCGTCTGTCGACGTGGTTTGCAGGTCGTGTCACCGACTAGAATTCTAGTTGAATGGTCGCAACATGTTTTACGACGCGTCATGTAGCGATATCCTATTTTAGCCCGGAGCCAAACCTTTGCGTGTTCAAACGCCAGCTACAAGGAATTTTTAAACCTCTTAAATGTTCTAACAATTGTTGTTCTCCTTTTAAAAATTCTAAGGTACTTGCCTAGTTTTGTCATTGTAAAAGTGAGTAATGAATACATATTTTGTTTTATCTTCGCCTGGAGTTTTGATTTATCATAGTCTATATGTACTGTGTGTAACTGTGAATGCGCAGCAGTGTTGCGGGATTGCACACACGCCAGGCCATAGCGCCTTACGGGCGAATTGGGTAGGCAAACCCGCAACACTGCTGCGCATTTACAGTTACACCCGGTATCGCCCGGCATACCATAGGCTAGAAAGCAAGCAAACACTAGGGTGTTTCATTGTCACCTTTTGAGCTCTTTGCGCAGTAGGTTGCTCACGTCGGATTTGATGGATCGGTGTTTTGGTTGAAATAACATCTTGCCAGCTTTTTAAAAATTCACTGCTTGCCCACTTCCGAGATGGGGAACCCCCACTGTGCAAAGCGCTTAAAAGTTGAGACTGAAACACCCTCAAACGCCAATCAGATTGCAGGGTCAGTCGCGCGCGCTTTCTGTTTCTGTCACCCCAGCGAGCACCGTGCGGAGGCAGACGTTTACGCCGTGGAGTCGTAGCCCACGACACGTGCGGACCTAGTGAGGCTTGGGCTCGGGGTACTGGTTCCGCGGGGAGCTTTCCTACGTTCATGCTTCGAGAGCTCTGAGCCTCCGCCTTGCGCCGCCGGGGTCAGCCAGCTAATAGCGAGCCGTGTCTCGCGGTATACCAGGTGGCTGACTCACGCCGCGTACTTTCGTAGGTATACTGTACCGGATATACGCGTGCGGGCGGGTTGTGTACTCGCACGAGGTCACAAGGAGCCGTGGGCAGCTAGGAAGGATGAGCAAACCCGCCTGCACCCGTGCATGCGGTACGCGGTACAGTAGTGCGTGCGGCGTGAGTCAGCCACCTGATATTTTAACCGTCCTGAAATCTGCTTGACTTCACCAGCACCAAAAAGGCCCGCCGTCTATAAAACAAATTGTGAGTCGTTCCCGAGGAGCTGACCCCGCACCGGGTCGGGCTGGTCCAGTGGTCCACGTCGGGACGGAGCGAGCGCCTTGCGGCGGCGGGTGGGCCACCCGTACCTGCAGTGCTGCGCGGCGGGCCGGCCTACCTCGCAGGGGGTGAAGGCGGGGAGGCTCGTTGGCTCGAGGGATTTAGACGAATTTTGTAGAGTTCCGGCCCGAATATGTCAGACTCACCTCCCTCTCTCCTTCGTTAGGTGTGCGTGTGTGTGTGCATGGGGGGGGGGCGGGGCGCGGACGCGTCCAATTGTTGGAGAACGCGGGCACGCCACCCTACCTACAGGAAGCCCATCATCGAAGACCCGAAGCTGCAGCAGTTACAGCGTGGCGCTGGCGCGGGTTGGCAGGTGGCAGAGATACTGCGGCTGGTGGTGTGGTCCCTCTTGCGGTCGAGTCCGTCGAGTCCCTGCACCGCCAGCTCGACTCGTTGGCTGCTCAATTGTAGTGGAGGAGCCTGGAGATGCGGCCGATGACGTGGTGTAGCCGCTGCTGCTGGCGGAGCAGCTGGAGGCCAGCCACCGCATGCTCACATACTTCTGCATGGGTAGCTTTTATAACTCGTAAGCAAAAAACCAATTGTAACAATCGGGTCGAATTTGAACATTACAGTGTCCGAAGATAGAAATGGTCGTTCGTGTCCGTTCGAAGATTTTTAATCAAATTTGTTGCGGTGAGCTCTCACCGGGACACAGCCTCTTTTCAGTACTACTCGTGTTTGGAGACGTCATACGATACCCACCGATCATAAACCTAGGAATGCGGC